TGCCAATTCAAGATTCTATGAGATCTTTGGAAGAGTTGTTTAAACCTTTTACTGCCTCTTTAAATACAAGACAGTTCAGTGACCTCTGTGTGAAGGAAGACTTGAGCTTGAAGTCTTGTCATAATCGTGAAGCCCCTACTTAGGTGGTGTTAAATTCTAGAGCAGGGAAGTTGCATACTATCTTTCAAGTCAGAAGTTCTGTGTCGTCTTCAAACAATAGGGGAGGTTAACCACTAGAGGGTTCTAAAATATTTCAGTTCTGCTTATAGGCAAATCCTTGGCCTGCTCCTCAGTTTTTAAAATTCTCTAGCTATGGAAATATATCTTTAGTTGTTTTAATACCTCCCATATTACATTTTCCAGTCTACTCTCCATCTTCAGTATGAAATGGTGTAACATTCCCAGGTGTTGTTATGTTTTAATAGTTAAACCACTGCCCCATTTTCTGGACCATGCTTATTCTACCTACAACTACAGGGAGAGTTTTCTTACACAGATGACTAGCAGACAAGCAGATTCCAAACATCATTTTACTGTCTACTTCTGAGGATACTACTGGTGATAATTTTTTTATGATAATTCCCAAAAAAACTTTATAAAGTATGAGATTTTTTTTTCAAGCGGAGTTTATTGTGAAATACTCTCAGAACCGTGTCGGTGAGGGGGTAAAGGGAATAGAAATGTGCAGAGAGATGATTTAAACTGCATCATGGTTGTTAAGAGACTTTAGGTGATTCCACAGATGGTGCTTGGGCTGGGGTACCTCATCCGACATGCCTAGAATGGAGGCCAAAAGGGCTTGATCTTTGTATCTCTTCATAAAGCAATAATTGGATGTGGGCCAGAGGTTGGAGATAAAGCATAAACTGCGTAAGGAAGCTCCCTTCAGGTAAAGACAAATACTAGGAAAGGACTCAGCTATGATTTATTTGGCTGCCTACTCTCCCCACAGTTGGGACTTAGATAGACTGAGAGGAGTGGTAGTGGGATCTGAACAGCACACCACAGCTGCACTGTAACAATAGAGACAAAACCCTGACTAAACAACTCAACATTTGGCCAGAAGAATTGGGAAACCAAATTAAGTAGCTTTGGTAATGTGATTTTTATTTTATTTTCTGGAAAATTAATACTGCTTTGAGATTCTATGAAGAATAATCAGACCCTCTCTCGTTGTGATAATACTAATTCAAAAAGAGAGATTTATTTGAGAAAGACATCTTTGAATGAGGACTCAAAGATTTTAAAATCAGAAATTTGCAAACATGTTTTTTTTTTCTTTAATAGGCTAATGATACTACCAAGGTAAATAAATGTTAAAAGTATAATCAATTTTATTAGTATAAGTATTTTGAAATAATAATTTTTCATCCTTTAGTTTCTTTATTTATATTATAGTATGAAATTTAAATTTTCAAGGCCCAGGATACTTGGAAAGGCAGCATGAAATTTATATACAAATGTTTCATTTAGTAATTTTAAAAATTCTATTAAAGTAAACTTTGGGTCAAGTGTATGTTTCACATATAGATATATATACATTTATATATCTATATGTATTTTATTGTCTCTGTAAGGAATAAAGTGTAAAATTTGTATTTGTTTAAAAAAATCATAAATAGAAGTTAATTTCATGTTCAACGATTACTTTGAAGAGTAACCTGATGTAGAATATGGTAGAAATCTCAGGGGGGGAAAGCTCCTGAGCTGTATTATTTCAAAGTGAGGCATTAAATGGCCCCACTTCCTTCTGGTGGCCTCATTCATTTAATTGCCATAATCACATTTGTGATGTGCCTTCTTCCTGCAAGGTCTACACTCTGAGAGTCTAAAGATGAGCTCAAAGCAGGACTTCCCAGATATACAAATTATGTTGAGGAGATAGAGTGGTAACTTTTAAGTTAAGGCCACATGACTTAACCAGAAAAGAAATATGAACCAAGGGTACCACCATTTCTTCTTTATTGCAGAAAAACTAAAATTATCATGAAAATATCTCTGCATCCTTGAAGGATAAACAATGACTCCTCAAACATAAAACTAGAATTAATTCTCCAGTACAAGGTATGAAACAGTGGTAATTTTTAGCATAGTTGGAGCCTATGGTTTACTAAATGGTATGAAGCTGAGTGGTAAAATAGAAAATAGGGATTAGATTTCAGACTAGACTAGAATGAACAGTTTGTTAGAAAAAAAAATAGACTTTAGAATTAGTTCCATGCATGATTAAAGTAAGAAGAGTCTCTATAGAAGCTGAACTGCATAGCTATATTTGATTTTAATTTTTTTTATTAGTTATACATGACAGTACAATGATCTTGACATATCATACATTTGAATCAAATGGGGTATAATTTCTCATTTTTCTGATTATACAGGTTGCAGAATGACATTGGCCATATTTGATTTTTAGAAAAGCATCCCTGGCTGCCATGAAGTAAGAATGAGTATGGTCAGAGACACATGCTAATCATATAGATGCCATGATTGATTAATGCTAAATATAACAGCAAGGTAGTTAGGTAGTGGTAGTTAATTTAGAAATAAATATCCAGGAAAAGCAAAAGAAATTTAATATAATAATTAAAATGAAATTTGAAGATTCAATGGCTTTAAATTTGAAAACTATGGCTTTTTTGATGTGCTAACGAAAAGACTGTTTTGTGTATAGAATGTCAGAGAATAGCCAGATGGACAAAGCACATACTGAATAATGGTCCCTAAAAATATTCAGGTCAGAAGCCATAAATCTTTCCTTTATGTGGTAACAGGGACTTGGAACAGGTGATTAAAATAAATCTCTGAACAGATTATCCTGGTATGCCCTTACTATAATCATAAGCTTTCTTATGAGAGGGAAGAGGAGAGACCTGACAGATGAAGGCACCAAAGTGAGACTAAGATAACCATAATACACTGTTAACTCTTAGGATGGAGATAAAGGGAGGTAATGGACCAAGTACTGCAAGGAAGCAGTTTTGCAAGCAGAAAAAGGAAACACATTCTCTTTTAAAACTACCTGAAGGAAGCCATGTTGTGTTAGGTATTTGTTTTAAAAGAGCAACCATGTCATCTCTTTACATTGGAATATCAAACATTTCTTAGAAAAAAAAAACCTAAGTTTTTAAAAATGTTTTTACCAGTGCATTGCAGTTATGCATAATAGTGGAATTCATTTTGACATAGCCATACATGCATGGAATACAATTTGCTCCATTTCAGTCCCTAGTATTACCCAACCTCCCCCCCACACACATTCCCCCACACCACCTCATTCCCCTTCCTTTGCTCTACTGGTCTTCCATTTATTTACTTTTTAAAAAAAACTGGTGCTTTATAACTATAAATAAGGGTGGAATTCACTGAGGTATATTCATGTGTGTACATGCAGAATTTGGTCAATTTTATTCAGCAGTTCTATTCTTTTCCTGTGCCTTCTCCCTCCCCAACTATTTCCTTCCTCTACTTCACGGATCTTCCTTCTATTTTCATGGAATATGCCCCACCACCCATTTTTGCTACTGCATGAGAGAGAAAACACTGGACCCTGACTTTCTAAGTCTGGCCATTTCAATTAGTATGATGTTCTCCAGTTTCATCCCTTTCTTTACAAGCAAGTGCCATTTTTAAAGTGTAAAAACTTTCAGCAACATATTCCAAGCCACAAACTCCTTCTCAGTCCATACATTGTAATATATAATATGTTTTATTTTTAGTAATGATTTATATTGTTAGCTATATCTAAAAACATTTTACAAAAGTTTGCTAAAAAGTGAAAAAAAACAGCAATCAAGAAGCAAATAAAATCTGAATGACTTGTTAAAATACTTGTAAGAGGACTGGTAGTCATATAAATGTGAAAAACAGTTATGGTATCTTTAATATAAAATATCAAAAACGTGGGTACTCATGAGTAATTTAGACTTAGAAAATTTGCCTTTGGAGGTTTGTTTTGTTTCATAAATTTGCTTTCTTCACTTACTCTCAAGAACAAAATTTGAATGGTTTCCATTTGTATGATTCTTCAATTTCTGCTGAAGAATCAGCCAATTACAATACAACAATGTCTTTCCTTAAATTAGTTGTATCATGTGGAACATATTGCATTAAAAGCCTTATATAAATAACTGGAATTTTTATATATTTCTATGATCAATACCACTATATTTCTATATGAAAATTATAGTAATTTTTAGGCAAATGTTCAAACAGAACTATTTTGTCTGTTTCTTCACTGAAGTATCTTAAACACCTATAATATGGAACATATATATTCAGCAAATATGTGGGTTTTTTAACAGACTATATGAATTTTTATTACTATAGAATTTTTATTCATTGATATTATGTGATTTTATACAATTTATTTGTAACCCCTGATCATGGGCATAAATGATTTTATGCAGAATCCATTTCTGTGAGTTCAACTGTTATTACTATTATTAATATAAAATTTCCCTGCCTTTGTTTCTTAAAGGCAAAGACCAATTTTACATTTATTTGCGTCCACTGAAGAGCAAAGAATAAAGCTATGTTTCAGTGAATTATTTGCTGCAGCCAGCTACGGTGATAGAAAATTTTCCAACATTTTCTCTAACAAACTAAAAATAAATAAATAAATGTTCAAGAAAATAATATGTATAAATAATCTCATTGGACAGAAAATAAAAGCAAATATATTTACCATAGAACAATTTAAACTAACAACTATATTAATAACATAGCTTTAAAATTTCTAACAAATTAAGTTAATTTTAAAAGATTCTCTGTTGAAGAATAAAGAATATTGAATCAAGAATACTGAATAACTATATGATCATGAAAATAAATTTTAATATTTTGGAGGGAGGGTCTGGGGATGTGGCTCAAGTGGTAATGTGCTCGCCTGGCATGCGCAGGGAGCTGGGTTCTATCCTCAGCACCACATAAAATAAAATAAAGATGTTGTATCCACTGAAAACTGAAAAATAAATATTAAAAAAATTCTCTCTCTCTCTCTCTTTAAAAAAAAGATTTTGGGGGGAGAAAGAAGAGATACCTTACAATTAGCAATTATTTCCAAATAAACAGTAGAAATAAAAATTCAATTTTTAATTTACATAAATGTATAATGTTTTTGAGTGTCTTAATTTGAAAAATCACTAAGGAATTTTTTTCAAGTTTAAACCCCAAATGAGATAGGTATTATATTCAAATTGCTTGAAAAGTCTGCATTTATTAATCTGTCAAAGTAGTGATGATAAAACAAATTCTTCATTTATAATTTACTACATGTAATGCTTTGTAAAATATAGTTAATAAACAATACTTCCTCAACTTTTCACAGAAAATATTGATCCCTTTGTCCTAAAGGTAAGCAGTGTGTTCTTCATAGCTTATCTAATAAAAAGGGGCATATTATAGCATATGTTATAATTATACATAAGAGCTTTTGAAAAACATGTTTTGGTTTTCTAAGGTAATATTTTGTTTCTAGTGATATTTTATGTGTTTACTATAAATCATGAACATTCAATGACATAGTGCAATAAAAGAAAATGTGCAATCATCTGACAAAATTAACAAGAATAGAACTTAAAGATATGGAAAATGAAACTGAAATCTCATCACAGAAATCATTATCTTTGAATTAGTAGGTATCCATAGCTAGAAATGGAAATACATGTGAATTGCCTTCTTCCCCGACTACTTCACTATCAGAGTATGACTAAAACAAGCTGCAGGCCATCTATGCTATTATGCGGATATATGTTATGTCAATTCTGTTGCTGTTTTTTCTTTGGCAGTCTCAGAATAACTTGCTGGAAAGTTTCACATGAGGCAATGCTGACCAAATTCCAGCCACCGGACTCAGAATCACAGGAATAAGAACTTCCGAACAAAGGGAGAAGTATTTAAGTATCAACCCTATGGCCAAAGGCTCACTCCACTGGGGTCACAAATGATCAAAGGATGACTCTAAAATATTTAGCCATTTCACTAATCAATTCCATTTTTTTTACTTAACATTGTGTGAATTAAAAAAGCATTTGGTAATTAGACTTAAAGGTAACTGGATTACATATAGTAATCATCTTTGAAATGTATTCATTTGAACACTAGCTTTCCTAGCCTAGAGGAAAAAAAAAATCTGCCCCCAAACACCATTGTCTGTAGAGTGGACTCAGAATTACACACACACACACACACACACTGATATGCATTCCTTTCATCACACAATTGTGAATATTTTAAACTATATAAGAAGCATTATTCAAATAGCCATGGCATAGTAATAGAAAGCCAAGAAGTAGTGATAATCGGAGGGCCAAGATCCCACAATTTTTAGCTTTTCTTCCTGATACAAATTATAATACCAAATAAATTAACTAAGTTTTTACTAAAATAAATTTGTCCTTAATTAATATATTCAAAATGCATTTATACTATTTTTTCTAATACAATTTAGGTTATTTATAAGGAACTAAACTTTAAAATAAAATTATCTGGTATTTCTCAAATTATCCCATATACCATTAAGTATAGGTATCCCATTTAGGCAATCAATATTTAGCTGGCAGTTAACCTGGGAAAAGAAACAAGAGAACTAAGTATTAGCAATCAAAGAAACAAATTAGTACATATTAATATTAATGAGTAAATGTGAAAAATAAGGGGAAAGGAGATTACAGGAAATAACACCAAAAACCAGAATATCACCATTATAATTTCTTAGTTGGAAACTTGTTAGGAGAAATGAAAGCTACATTGTGTTTATGCTTTTGATGACTTTACTAAAGACTAGAAACTATGGTTTGATGAGTTTTACAATCCTCAAGGAATGATAGAATAATAGCAACAATGCATGAACTACAACAAATTATTAGCATACCAGTGCAGAAAAGATTCCTTCAAAAATATATCTTCCCAATACACCAGTTCTTAGCCCAGTTTTACATATAAAAGATAAATTGCCCATTAGCTTATTGGCATGAATCCGATGGTGAATACCAACTCAAGCTCACAGTAAATGCATATTAGTAAATTGAGAATTGGGAGAGAGTTAATGATGTAACAAATGATGTGACAAATACTTTAATGAAATGAATAGAATACATAAAAATGTCTTATGAATTCCTTTTGTACTTACACCACTGTACTGAAAAGGCATTCATTTTTTGTAATACCTACCAATTCCAGCTTGCAGATGTGTCCAAAGGATGAATAGAATGGCTGTTGAGCATTTTTAAACAGCAATACAGATACAGATATGAATTTATACAAAAACACACAGAGTCATGTGTTACTCAATGATGGGAACACATTCTGAGAATGCATCATTAAGCAATTTTAGTATTGTGCATGCATCATAAAACATATTTACATAAACTTAGATGGCATTGGTTACTATACACCCAGGCTGTATGGTATATCCTATTACTCCTTACAAACATGAATAACATATCAGTATACTGAATAGTTGAGGCAACAGTAACAAAATAGTAAGTATTTGTGTGCCCAAATGCAGAAAAGCTACAAAAAAATGCAGTATAAAGGATAAAAAATGATTCATATGTATAAAATAGGCAAGTGCTATACTATTGAACTATACCTTGCCCCTTGTTCTTACTTGATAGAGTTTGTAACTTTTTTAACTTTTACTCTTTAACAGTAACACTTGGTCTAAAAGACAAATACATCATACAACTGTACAAAACTATGTTTTTCTTATATCCTGATTCTGTAAGGTTTTTGTTACTTGAATCTCTTTTTACCTTTTAATTTTGTTGTTATTGTTGTTGTTGTTGTTGTTAGAAACTAAAACACAAGCACACACATAAACCTGGGCCTACAACCAGGAAAATATCACCAGTTTCTGTGTCTTATCTCCATGTTCTGTCCAATAGGTCTTCAGGGCAATGACACATGGATCTGTCATCTCCCAGGAGACAAATTTCTTCAGGAATACCTCCTGAAGGACTTAGGGCTATTTTAAAGTTAACATTTTTGTAAGTGGAAGGATAACATTCTAAATGAATTGTAGAAAATATACTATAGAATATACATAAACCAGTAACGGAGTTGCTTTTTATAAATAATTGCATGTGCATAATTTTGCATGGCTTGAAGTATAATAGGTTAAATTTGGCATGTCATACATGTATTAACTGAAGACTGGAATGTCATATAATGCATGACTCATTTATAAATTGTAAATATTAAGGAGATAATTAATTGCTCAATTATTATTCCTGGTACTAAAATAACATCATAACAAGATTTCATTTACTTATACCCAAATTTCTTGGAATGATTGACCATTTTTAACAACAAATTCATAAAACATCATTGGCAAACACCAAAATATTACTTTGGGACACTTTCATTTAAAGGAATCTAAAATCAATAGTTGAAAAATGTCAAATGGATGAAGGCATGGATTTATTTTGTGATATACATGTATGATTACACTACAAGTATAACTTTGCACCATGTTCAGCCAGAGGAAGGAGAAGTTGTTCTCCATTTGTGTAAAATGTGTCAAAATGTATTCTACTGTCATATATAACTAATTAGAACAAAATGAAAATTAAATTAAAACTAATGAAGCCATTTAAAAAAGGGGTGGGGCTTGGGGACAGGTTCAGATTTTTAGTTTGAAATTGAGAATCAAAACTTGTCTGTCCTGAAAGTAGGGGGAAAAAAAGCTAGACCCTGAAAGTCAAAGGTATAATGTTTTTTTCTGATTTGAGAAAGCTAGTCCAAAATGAGGAGAAAGATAGAAAGAAGGAAAGGAGAGGAGAGGAGAGGGGAAGGGAAGGGGAGAGGAGGGGAAAAAGCCAAGGGGTAGGCAGCGAGGAATTTCATCAAGAGAGAAGGGAAATTG